AGTGGAAGGTATTGGAAGGTTTTTGACTAGTAGAGTGACAATGTTCTAAAAAATGTGACACTGACAGCTATGTGGAGAACAGATGGGGGATGGGGGACGCTGGTTATGAGGCTACGGCAATAGTCTAGGCAGGAGATGAGAGGAGAGTGCTGGAGAGGTTGAGGGCTTGTCAAATTCTGCTTCTATTTTGAAGTTAGTTCTGACAACATTTGCTGATGGATTGGACGTGAAGTGCGAGAGCAAGAAGACTCAGGGATGATTCAGAAGCAACTGGAAAAACACAATTGCCATTAACCCGGCTTCGTAAGAAGACCGTGGGATGAGAAAAAGAAGTCTATAGGAGGAACAAAGTTCAGTCTTTGGTATATGAAGTTTGAGGTGACTTTTAGACAGCCAGGTGAAGATGTCAAGTTGTCAGCGGGATATTTGAGTCTCGAATTCAAGAGAAGTCCAGGCCAGACGTGAATGCGGCAACTGTTCGTGTCTAGACGGTGTCTGTCTTCAGAGATCAGGAGGGTTCACACGGACGGAGGGCAGTGACTTGGCCTAGGAAGGCAAAGTTTCCACAAGGGAGAGACTGAAATGGAGCAGCCCGTGGATGAGAAGGAAGAAAGACAAAAAAAAAAAAGACTTCACTGACCTGGAAGTCAAATGCAAAAAGCGTTCAACTACGAGGCATAGTCTGATTTGTTTAAAAACAATCTTGTATGTATGTGCACGGACAGGTTGGCGTAGACAAACTGTCACAGACTGATCATTATTCAGTTGGTGTCCATGGGAGTTGATCTGTTTACTTTTGTATATGTTTTCAATTTCCTATTAATTTTTTAATGGCAGAGGTAAGAAATTGTGAACTACTGCTGACAGGTTGCTCACCAGAAGATTTGACCGATGGAGGGCACTGGTGGTAGTGACATGAACAGTCTCTGGACAGACGAAAGCTTTAGGCAGTGAGTTCAACAGAGACTAGGAGGAAGGATGGATGCGAATGCAATAGGTCCTCCCAGGGATTTTTCTGGAAATGGGACCAGAGAAATGGGTTAGCAGCTGGAGGCAGATCAAGGGGCCAAGGGCAGTCGGTTGGTCAATTTAAGAAGGAATGGTTACAGCTACATTTCTGACTGCCCTTCCCACTACACTGCACAAACCCTTCCATCATCACCCCCTACCCTACACCTGCTGTCCACACTGGCCCGCCCCATTCCAATTCCCACGTCCTGCTTCATGTCTCCAGCTGCTCACCTTCCACCTCCATCATCACCTGCAAGCACTGTTTTGTAGGAGAGTTTTGGTTGTGGTGTTTGATTGGTCTCTGTAGCTCTTGTCTGCGGTGTGTGTCACAGGGCTCTGTGTTTTTACTGTAGATCAAGACTACACAATGTTCCCCTGACAGGCTTCAGAAGGGAGGCAGAACTTCTACCGAAACTATAAAGTTTCTGAATCCTTTAGATCCTGGAAGATAGCATTCGATAGCAGCAACGAGAATAACTTTCACCTGCCTTTCCCACTCAAAAAAGACAAGGCTGGAAGCACTGATTCACACTAAGGGATCGTGAACTGGAACTTATTTTTAAATCTAACAGAAAAGCCTCTGCAGTTACCAAAGGATTTCTCTTTGAAAACATCAAAAACTGGGTAGGAATGGGTAGGCAGGGAGAACGAGCCTTCTAGTTTAAGACATGGCAAGTTCAGCGAAACTGGAAACAAGTTAGGATTACAAACACTGCTCTCCTCGCACCTCCGTGCGAGTGTGTCCCGGTGAGGGACCTGGGACACTGCCTCAGGGTCTTTCCTGCTGAGCAGTTCCCCTCGGAAGCACCAGTTTTCAGTGCAAAGGTCAAGAACAGAAAGGACTCTTCTACTCAGGATTAAAATACAAGATGCATCAGAGACGGACTCAGAAGGAATTCCCGAGAAGAGACGCTATCAGTGCACCTAAAAGGGCATTTGAATCTCCCCTCCTAAGTACTACCGAGTGCCTACCATTGCCAAGCCGTGTGAGGGGTCACCCAGACGACGCGGTCACGGCTGAGCGTGGAGCCGCTTCTTTCCCGGGGACACCAGCTGTGATGCAGAGTATGACCCAGGAGGCTGTCTGCGGGAGCAGGGCTTCCTTGCTCCTGAGATTAAGGCAGACTGGCGTGGGAGGTCTAGCAGAAGTGAGCAGCAGCTCCACATTGCCAAGGGTCCTGGGCTCAGAGAGCACGGAGTTCTAGAGGAATGAGGAGCCTCTCCTCTGTATCACAGGGTACAACGACAGCCAAACCTGGGCAGACAGGCTGAAGTCAGGTCCCCGAGGGAGCACTGAATGGGTTTGACGTTTTGTAAGATCGCTCTGGTACAGCGATCTAAAGGAGAAAGACTGCACATGAAGTTCCGACTTGAGAAAAGCGGCGATTTGCTCTTGCTGAGAAAGTTCTGGAGGTGGGGACTTGGCCTAATAGGCTAAGAGGCCCACATTCTATATCAGGGTTTTGTCTCCTGGCTCCAACTCTTTTTCCTTTTCTTCTTCCCTCCCTCCATCCCCTTCTTTCTCCTTCCTTCCTTCCTCCCTTCCTCCCTTCCTCCCTTCCTTTCAAAGGCAAAGGCAGAGAGGTTTTCCATTCACTGACTGGGCCTGGGCCGATCTGAAGCCAGGATCTAGGAGCTTCTTCTGGGTCTTCCAGGTGGGTGCAGAGGCCCAAGGACTTGGACCATCTTCCACTGCTTCCCCAGGTTCATCAGCAGGGATGCTGGATCAGATGTGGAGGAGCTGGGACTTGAACTGGCGCCCACACAGGATGCCAGCACTGTAGGCAGCAGCTTTACCCGCTATGCCACAGTGCTGGTCCCTGGCTCCAACTCTTTCTGCTAAGGCAGACCCTGGGAGGCAGTGGTGATGAGTCAAGTGACTGGGTTCCTGCCCTCTGTGTGGGAGGCCTGCATTGAGTTTTCAGCTCCCTGATTCAGGCCCAGCCCAGCACACTGACTATTGTAGGTTGGGGGCACTTGCTCTCTTTCTCTGCTTCTCAAATAAATATGAAATAACTGAAGAAAACTCAAATTCTGTTCTTCAGTGTTGTGTCTGACTACGCTTCGTTCTGTACCTCAAACAGCTGAGGGTTTCATTCTATTTGGGTATTTTTTAAACACTCAGATCATTGCATGTTTCTCCAATACACCTATGTCACAAGGGCACAGTATAATCAACCCCCACAATCAACCACTGGGAGATAATTTACTGCGGTCAGCTCTGGTTATGAAAATGACCTTCAGTTACAGACCCGCAAGCTGCTGCTGCTCTGAGGGCTTTTCTGTGTCCGTCTCCCCACTACCAGGCCCCTGGCTGCAATTTCACCAGTACAGTAGTTCCCCGCCAGAGTCCACAAACAAGTTCTCAACAGCGTGAGGTGAGATGTGGATGCTGTGGGGAGCAACCCGGACTAGACTAAGTTACTGGAATTAAGACTTATTCTATCCATCTGCTCTCCCACAATATGGCGCTGAGAAGGGAGAAACAGCTTCTACTCAGCTGCCTCCAGTTCAACCAATAAACTGTAGGACCTGCTCCTGATTGGAGGAGAGCAGCGTACTCGGCGTGTGGGTAGCAGAGTTGGGATTGGTGGAAGAGGACTATAAAGGAGGAGACAATATACACCAGGAACATCTAAGGGGAACATCTATCTGAAGGAACACCTGTGCAGCCCCTGAGAGAGCCGGCCGGCGGTGTGCCGCTCCCCCGCGGAAGTGGGGAAAAGTGGCAGGGGGAACCGCCCTTTCACGGAGGTGGAAGGGACGGTAGCCAACTCGGGAAGAACCAGCAGCAAACCCGGGGAGGGCCGAGCAGACAAAAGAACAGCGCAGGGTCCTGTGTCGTTCCTCCACGAAGAGGGGGAGCGACAGATGCCAAGGACAATGTGGTGTCTTTCACAAAATAAAACGTGTTTTACATAAGCCTTGTTCTTTCTTCTAAACTATATGCTACTTCCTTTTTGAGGGTGAAGATTTCCTTTAATTTTATTAAGTGAGGGCTACATAATTTTTTTAATGTCTCATATGGCCAAATACTGGTAACCAAATAGCTGGTAAGATCCGTGTAATTTAAAAAATGTGAGATCTGGAAGACTGGATGGCCCCTGCCGTGAGTCCTCTCCATGTCCACCTCGCTAGCAAGCACAGCGGCTACTTGCTACCAGTCGGGTGAAGGCAGGGCCACATTTGGATTAACCGAGGCTGACATGACCTGCCGAAGTGTCAGAGCTGACAGCTAACTATGCAAACAATCAGGAAAAGGTTGGCAAAGTGTAATTTCATCACTTATGTCTCCCTAATAGCTTTAGAATTTGGCACTTTGGAAAGATCAGGTAGAAAGCCAGAGGGACAGAGAGAGACGGGAAGACAGAGAGAGGCTTTTTGATCACCTGGCCCAATTCTGCCATTTGAAAGATGATCTGTCTCTAGGTTTGGCTCAAGGCTTTCTCTACCATGAGTTTCCAATTTGACAATATTTGGTGCTTCACTTTTAAGGTGTTTTTGGTTTTTTTTTTTTGCTAGGAAGAAATATACTCATAGTTCATTTAATCATTTAAAGATGGCAAAAAGCAAACTACAAAAATGCACACTCAACAAAAAAAAGTTGATACTGCATAACTTCAGAATATTTATTGTTGAGTATTCTAAAAGCAATAAGTGCATTAGAAATAATGTAGCGGTAGACAGCTCAGGCAGAGGAACAGAAATACAAACATCATATGAAGATGTGCGCGTTCTCTCCCCCCTTTCACTTCAAAAATAAGTCTCAAACTACTCCCACCCCCTGCCCCCCGCATGTCAATCACATTTCTTGGTTTTTCACAAGAAAAATAGAGGATTTTTCCAAGTCTGTATGCTCATCTTTAGAATGCAACAGAACCAGATGGATTATACAGGGTGTGGCTGACAGCAGCAGAATCGGGTGCCGGCAACAGCAGGGACACAACACATCACCAGTACAACAAAGCACATATGCATACACACTCTGGTATGTTAAATCAGTAGTTTTATTACAATTCACACTGACACACAATGAGAGAAGGAATGTTCTGACATTTTCTGAGCATTTCACAGAAAGCAAATGTAACTATCCAGGCAGTAGTCATCCACACCTTTTTCAAACAGAAACCAAAAGCTTTTACATGTGATAACTCAGAAGAACAAAGTTTTCATATTCTTGTTTAAAAAACTTCGGTCTTGGAAAACAGTTACTGCGAAGTAGGCTGAGAGAGGAGGCGTGTCCTGCCTCAAGACCACCCCCCCCCCCCCACCTTCCACAGGACTTCTGAGGACACTGCAGGGCAGGGGTGTTCAGGGTTCCAGGGGATCTACTCAGAAGACCAACTATTACACTTTGCTATGATTGAAAGGAGAGGATAAATTAAGGAAATCAAGTCCTACTAAAATGCACAAAGACAAGGGAGAAAATATCTGGGTGTATTAAAAATGAGATGCTCTTTTCACATAACTCATTTAAAAGGTTACAATTACCATAAACATTTTAACTCCATTAAAGATCATTGGCAAAAGCTTGCTTCTGTATCTGCATAAGAGCTCTGCCTTTGCACGGGTCTGCAGCAAGCAGCGTCCTGTGTGAAGAGTCCCTAGTCCCGGGGAAGCCGGCATCCGACTACTTGGGGGTTGCATAGGCGTTTTGAGATCCACTGCAAGGAAAGACACTGTGGAACCTTGAGAAGTTTCCCTCTTTCAACAGGCGTTGTGGCAGTCAGGTGTTTTAATCCCTTCCGTGCCCAAACACGCAAAAGCACTCTAGGAGAAAACATTACCGTGATGTTTTGGATAAATTCACTACACATTATGTTTTACTTGGGAACAACAAAGGAAAAGAGCCCAAGCATGACCTTGGCATTTCATATAGAAAAGCACTACCGGAGAAAACTCTGCTTAAAAACATGAAAACGCGGATGAATATAAATACATTTTTGGTTAATCTGTGCTATGTCATAGAGAAATCCTGTCACATTCAGTCTACTAGGGAACTCATTTGGATTTTCATGTCTGACTGCATCAGTAGAAGAATATACATTGTTGCATATACTTGTATGTATATGCATATACATTTATAAAATTCAGATCACGAAAATGTTTTAAATACATACATTTAAAACCTGTACCTCTAAAAATAAATATATTAGCCACTAATCAGCTAATTCTCAGAGTTCCTTCACAAACCAGTCAGGACACAGTCAACAAGGGCAGATGACCAACTGGCTGCCCTCTAAACCCATTAACTATGAGTAAACATTTTAAAATTCAGATGTATAACAGAAAGAACATCCCTAGAATAGAATACAGATGGAATTCTGGCTCTGAAACTAGCTTCGGTTTCCTTGATGTTTCGTGCCTACAAATGTCGACGCTTTACCTCTGCGTTTGTCTAGCAGTAGGAGAGCATTTTCCAGTGACAGCACTCGATACGGTGACACAACCTTTTTATCAAAGGACTTGGCTGGCATTTCCTTTGCTGTTTGGTTCGAGGGAACTAACACAACATTGTGTCTGATATCACTCCCGCAGATCACTGTGAGTTGTGTGTTTCAATGCCATTTCCACTGTGCAGAGACCTGTAAGGTAAAGCAGAAGTCGCCCCGGCATTCACAAAGTGAAAGCTCCCCCAGGAGAACACCACAAAAAGGAGCCGGTGGTGCCAGCGAGGCTCTGCGAGGGAACTCAACACCATCGCCAGAACGGACACAGTGGATATCTGACGCCGTCGTTCAAATGAGAGAAACAAGACGAAAGCACTCAAAATTCTTCCTTTAGAAATGATGCAGTTCACAAAAACGGAGTTTCATTTTTTTACTTTTACATTTCAAAAAAAAATTCTTAAAATGATAGAAACCAGACTAAGTTGTTTAATATAGTACAATACTTAACAACCTTGTCATTTGTATTTGAATACAGGAATCTCAGAAATATAGGAAATCCATGATAAACGATAGCAAGAATGTTTAATGCCATTGCCTAAATTTTTTAAAAGGAAAATTTGTCATAGTTGAAACAACTTTGAAAAAATACAGTGTTTTATGTGCTCACAGTTCCAGATTGCCAACTTTATAAATTAAATGTGAAAGGTATCCATATATAAACAAGGCCTCTTTTTCATTGATTTCAATCTTGGGTAAACCTTTGGATATTTCAATCTTCAGATTCCACAAGGTAAGGCTGAGTTTATCAGATATAAATAAAACGTTTTAAGTCTATGATGTACTGTAGCACTGACAAAACAAATGCACCAAATATTTACAGGCTGGCTACAATACCCTTTGCTTAAAAAAATTCAGCTGTCTATCAACATCAAGCCACACTCATTTCTGAACTTCTCTGGCTGCAAAACAAATGGGGCAACAGGATTTTTTTTCTCACTCATCTCTCCTCTTAACCCTGAAGTCAAGGCAGGGTTTAGGTCAAAGGCCGCGGTCTTTTGGGAGGCGGTGGTGGCATGAGCTCCGCGTCGGGGTCCAGATGATGCTTTCGCTTCAGTCCTTGAGAAGCTGCAGCACATCTGTCAATGAACTCGAACAGCATCTCCTTGGTGACAGGGTTTGAGATGCTATTGCACACGGCTGGGGACAAAGGGAGACATGTGCCCGCATGAGGGTTAATGAAGGCAGTTGACTCACCACCAGCTTATGACAAAGGTTTCCATCCCAGTATGCTAAACACTTGCTTTTTACTCCTGTGGGTGACATGCTTCACCCTAAGCTAATCTCCTCCCTCTGCCTCCCCCTAAAGAAGTGAGTCTCCAGTGGCCACACTTTACAGCAGTATTCACTTTAAACCCAAATTTTAAGTGTCTGGGATATAAGCATATGCCTTCACTATGGTTTTTCCCTGCTCCAAACCAGTTTTTATGGGATTTTGATGTAGCTCAGTGCAGTGAACTCACTCTAGAAAATGTGCACTCTAAGCCTTTCCAGCTACCATTCCTATTGAATGTATTATTGTAATAACATTTGAAGATACAGCAAAATAACCTAATACATAAAGCATCTTTTCTTAAGAGCTCAAAATTTTGTACCAGTCCTTTTTACTTACCTAGTCTGTTTTGGAAGAAAAGATGCTGGCTTAATCATTCCTACTTTTGAAATTAACTCATTTTTTCTGAAGACAGATGTTGTTCTAACAAGAACCCCTGAATACACAAAGTAACTTTGAAATTACTAAGCCTAACCTGGCAACTTCTGTATTTTTCTCATAAGCTTATTGTATAACCACCACCATCATCATCATTAACTGAGCACTCTAAAAAGTATACAATCCTATTAACCTTTAATCTTGGTGTTTTTTGACCAAGAGCAATGCTACTAGTAGTGTATATCTCATAAACTTCAGTCAATTTGTGTTGTTCCCCATGAAAGAAATGTACTGTTCTGAATTCCCAAAGTGCCCATATTATACCAAAGAACACCCTGAAGGAAAGCATAGCTGATTTTTTAAATGGTTTTTCATTTACTTTGTTCTCTATTATTTGTAAAGCTATTTTAGGAACTGGAAATTACATTTTCCCCTGCTAATTTTGTCTTTTACCATCTGGCATACAATGGTTTTATAGTTTTGAATAGATCTGAAATTATCATGGCTTTTGTTGTCATTCAGTAAATTCAACTTGTGTATGGCCCAGTATGCCGCCCTTTCAACTTCTCTCTTGGGCATGTGGACACAAGTCTACCAGTTTAGGAGGAGAACCCATAAGCCAACTGGAGGCAAAGAGGGCACCAGCCTAGCACATCATCTTTCCCACTAAACAAATGATCAGGCCCCATCAAGCGGAACAACAAAGATTGCACATTTGGGTTCTAACACCTGAACTTCTTCTAATGTTCCACTAGGAGGCTGTACTACTTACCCATGGCAGTGTTATAGGCGTTAGGAAAACTTTTGTCTGTTCTCTGTCTCATGAAGACCCAGCTGTTATTCTCAAATTTGCATTCTATAATTTTGTTGTCATACTGTTTTAGCTCTTTTGTCACCTGTTTTAAAAGAGAGTGGAGGAAAATATTTAAATCATTTTAAAGGCTTTTTGCTTTCACCACGTGACAGACACTTTAGGAAATGCCAAAAACACCTCAGCAACTCTCCGTGCACAGCTCGCTCTTTGTCATCTGAAGTGTCTGATCAGACCTAAAGTCATGGTGTGCACTCCCTTGCACACATACTCATTTAGCTGACATTTTATAAATAGTCGTGAAAATGGCTGTCAATATATAGCAATTAAAAGAAGCTAAGCAGAAAGCAGCCACTTCTGGGCCAAATGCAAATATGTTGCCATGGGGACCAATGCCTTCAACACTGAGTCTCCAGAGCTTCCAGAGGCTGTGTACACTGCGTGGGTCTCACCAACTCTCAGGACCATCGCGTCATCTGCATTCCTACGTCAGAACCTGACAAATGCCCTTTACTGGTTAAAAGAGGAAGCTACACATAAAAAGTAAACACTGGGGTCAAATTCAGGCAATGTGCATGTTAAATATTTTGCTATTTAAGCAGTGTATTATAATGATCCAAAAAAATATAGTCTTTAGGCTTTTTACCTTTTCTATCTCCAAACTAGCATGAATTTGGAAATGAGGCTACCTTTCACTTTATTGGTGGTTTTCTGGCATCTTTACTCTAGATGATTGAATATGGATTACAACTTACTCTATCTATCAAAGCTAACAAGTATCCATGGTAACTAGAGAACCTTTTAAAAGATATTTCATCGGGCTGTGAGAAAGGTTTTCATAAATAGGAACCTAAGCTTATCTTTGCAGTTTCAAATCAAATGCCAGTCATGGTAATATTTTAATTCTGTCCTCATCTTTCATAGCTAACAATTTTTCCTCACAATATGGTAGATTGCAATCATTTAACTTCATTAGCATTATTTGAAACACTCTCATTTTTCTACCACCTAGAACTATGAAGGGAAGCAAAATTTTTAAAAACTGCTTTCAATTCATAGATAAGGCAGTGTGTGTCTTCATAAAAAAATTCCAAATTGTATTCGTTTTCCCTTAATGACTATTACATTTGATTGGACCATTTGCATTTTCAATGAGTCCAACAGGTCCAATGCATTCAGTGGTTCTGGAACTAGCCCTGCCTCTAAAACGATGATCTACATGCCAAATTTGCTAAGTTTGTTCTCAAATATTCATTATTTTAGTCTCAACTCCCTTGTTCTGCTTCCAAGAAACCTAGCTCCTTTTATGTTTGATACATTATTTATAACTAAGTATGGGATAATCATATTTATGTCACACCATATGTAATGTTTAACACAAAGAAGTTCTAAATCTTCCAGTCTCTTTTTTTATTTCTGAAATGGACAAAGGAGTTCTTAATTGATTGGACTGATGGTAGAATAATAAATAAAAGTGCCTAGCACATAGTAGACAATTGGTAAAACTGTTAACTGAATCTAAAATTAGACAATGAAATTTTGCTTTATAAAAACTGATTTAAAAAAGTAACATTAAATTTACTGCCTTAGCCGTTTTTAAGTATACAGTTCAGTGGTGTTAAAGTATATTCATACTGTGTACAACACATCCCTAAACTGTTTCTACTTGCAACGCTGAAGCTCAGTACCCGCTAAATACTAATTCCCACTTGCTGCACTACACTGACCCTGCCCACCACCCGCACTTCTGTGATTTTGACTGCTCTGGATATTTTGCTTGAGTCATACAGTATTTGTCCCTTTGTGCCTGGCTTAGTTTGCTTAGCATAATGTCTGTGAGGTCCATTCATGCAGCATGTGACAGGAGGAGTTCCTCCTTCTTTAAGGCTGCCGAATAGTCCATTGTATATATAGAACACATTTTACTTAACCATTTGGGTTGCTTCCACCTCTCAGCTATTCTGACTAATGCTGCGATGAACCTGGAAATGAGAATATCTCTTGACATTCTGCTTTGAATTCTTGTGGATAAACACACAGAAGCAGAATTCCTGGATCACCTATTAATTCTCTGATTTTTTCTGAGGAACCTCCATACTGTTTTCTACAGCATGTGTATTATACCATTTTATATTCTCACCAATAGTGCACAAAGTTTCCAAATTCCCAGAATCCTCCTCACATCAAAACTTGTACTTTCCTTTCTTTTTTTGGACAGGCCATCCTGACGAGGGTCAGGTGATCTCTCACTGTGGTGCAGATTTGCATCTCCCCAATGATTCATGATGCTGATCATCTTTTCACGTGCTTGGATACTTTCTTTGTAGAAATGTCTATTCAAGGCCTTTGCCCATTTTTCAAATTAGGTCATTTGTTTTTGTTATTACTGTTACTGAGTTAAAGTCCTATATAATCTGAATTTCAACCCCTTATCATACATATGATTCACAATGATTTTCTCCCATCCTACTGCTTATTCACTCTATTTCTTTTGGTACACAAAAGTTTTAAATTTTGATATTGTCCCTTTTATCTTCTGAAAAATTTTATTGCCTCTGATTTTGGTATTACAGCCAAGAAACCTCTGCCAAATCCAATGTCCTATAATTTCCCCCTATGTTTTCTTCTAGGAGTTTAATAGTTTTAGATATTCTGTTTAGGTATTTAATCTTTGTATGTGCTATAAGTAAGGATCCAACTTCACCTGTTTGCATATGTATATCAAATTTCCTCAACACCATTTGTTGAAGAAGCTGCCCTTCCCTACAGCCTTGGTACCCTTGCAGAAAATCATTTGGCCATATATGCAAGAATTTATCTGTGGGCTCTGTATTCTGCTCCATATTTAACATAAAAGTAGATATATTTATACCAGTAATTAAATATATCATCTAAATTAAAGTGTTTTGTAGTACATGTTTTGAAATCAGGAAGTATAACTTTTTTTAAAATCAGGCCTGTGACTTTTTCCTTTCTCAAGACTGTTTTGGCTATTCATGGTCCTTGAGATTCTATATGAATTTTAGGATGGTTTTTCCAATTTTTTTAAATGCCACTGGGATTTTGATAGGGGTTGCACTGAATCTGTAGATTATTTTAGGTTATATGGCTGTTATAAAAAAAACAAGCCTTCCAATCCACAAGCACAAGCACATAACTATCTTTCCATTTATCAAGAAACACTGCTTATTTTTTTTTAAAAAAAACAAAACTTTACAAGTAAATTAATAAAAGGGACCATGATGAAAAGGTACATACTGTAAAAACAGCTGTCAAGAAAATTATAGCATATGCATTTTTCAAGAATGGCTTGCTACTCAACAATGTGCAGTCTGTATGTTGCTAACTAGCAGTATGATGTCTTTATCATGTATCATATCATTCTTCTGTTCTCAGTTCCAAAATTCTTATAAATTATGTGTGTTCAATCTGATGATTGCAATTAATCAACATTATTAAGTATCTGTGTATCTGCTGAGCCATGCATCAACAATTTGGGAAACAGAGCTTTCCAGAAAATAAATGCAACTGCCACTACTAATCTAACTGCACTTCCATGTTTCAGTATGTACATCTTTCTCCTTTGATCACCCTGTTATATTCCCAATATAAACACACTGCAAGGTACCCATTTGGTTAGGTGGCAAAGTATATTTAGCTGGTAAAATTAAAAAAAAAAAAGATTGGCTAGGGCCGGTGTTGTGGCATAGTGGGTAAAGCCTGCTGTGCTGGCATCCCATATGGGTGCCAGTTTGAGTCCCAGCAGCTTCACTTCTGATCCAGCTCTTTGTTATGGCCTGGAAAAACAGAAGATGGCCCAAGTCCTTGGGTTCCTGCACCTGCACGGGACACCCGGAAGAAGCTCCTGGCTCCTGGTTTCAGATAGGCCCAGCTCCAACTGTGGTGGCTATTTGAGGAGTGAATCAGTAGACAGAAGGCTCTCACTCTCTCTCTTTCTCTCTCTCTCTGCCTCTGCCTCTCTGTAACTCTGCCTTTCAAATAATAAATAAATCTAAAAACAATGACTGGCTTATAGAAGAAGAGTTTAATTTTAGTATCCAAATTAGAATTTGATACTATGATGATTATCATCCTTGGCCAATTACATATCACTATTTACTAAAACAGGAACCCATCAGGCCTTCTAAAATAAACTGCGTTATCATAGTCTGAGTTAATGAGAGCTTGAAAGTTAAAAGAATAAAATATATTTATAAGTCCAGATTTCACATCTGTATCCACAATTATATCAAATTAATAAAGTATTAGTATTTTGAAAAAAGGTAAGGGGCAACAAATAGTATATTTACATTGAAACTTGCTTTTTTATATCTTTTATATATATCATTATATCTATATCTATATCTATATACACACCTTACATCTTATTGAGTACCACACTTTTTTTACTATTTGAATCTGGGGTTAAGAGACTGTCAGATGAAACTGGATCTAGCACCTCTGAGGATTTTAAATGAGCAGTTCTAAGATAATGAGTATCTGGAATGAAGGGCCCAAACAGACAAACAGCTGCTGTCATCTTCCACTTCTTTACAGAATCACTTTTTTTGTAACCGAAATGCTGAGAATACGACTAAGTCACAAAGACATACAGTCAGCGTTGGCTGAATTGATCTGCACAAAGTAAGCAAAGATTATTTAACAAGATCCTCTAGAATTTACTGTGCCTGCACTCTGAGTTCAGTTTTGCTATCAAGAGATTGGCTTTCTTTTCAACAGACTGCACAAAGACTTGGGGTGGGGGTAATTTCTCTGAAGTAATTTACTCTGAAGATACTTTACAATAACAAGTATCAGTAGACTGAGGTTTTTGTGTTTTTTTTTTTGCTTGAACTTTTATTTTTGAAATCATTTTAGATTGACAGAAAAGTTTGAGAGACAGTTCAGGGAGCCTGTGTATTTCTTTCACTCAGCTTCTCCAATATTCCTATTTTACACATGTATCAACTCAAAAAAATAATGCTAATGCAAAACAACTAACTATAGATTTTGTTCAGACTTCCTCAGCTTTCCACTCACACCGTCACCTGTCTCAGGATCCAATCTAGGAAACATGTAGTTGAG